TTCTCCAGTCCTGTCGGCAGGAACGGATGGCCTGGGAGGAGGTCAGAAGGTGCGTAAGTCAGTGAATGACTTTGGGTAAATATGAAGATTAGATGTCAAAGGAAAATGAGACTTCTCGGACCAGCCCGTTGCACTGAAGTGGTTAAGTGGGCTGTGATTAAAAGAAAGAAGTAATTATCCTAATTATAGATGAAAAGATACAGAACTACCACTTTAAAAGCACCTCCTGTGCTCCGGGGTGGTTCTGTTACGTACAAAGCAGCAGTTCATAACCACGTAGTGTAAGCAAAAGGGCACCTCGCAGTGTCGCATCGCTGTCCCCGAGGCGGAGAGTGGCTCTGTGCCGGTGAGCGCTTCATCCCCTGAGCACGGCTCCAAAGTTCAGGTCTCGCTCCAGTGAGTAGCGTGGTGCTAAGCCAGGAGAGATTGTGGGAACCTTTCTGTCTCGAGCTCAGCGCAGGGTTCAGAACCAGAGTTCACAGAGCTCTCCCTGCTTGGCCGTGACCAACGCTAGTAATGGCTTTTTATGATCACCAGGTTTTAAATAAGAAATAAAACAAAGCAGCAAGCTCTGGGGCACTGGAGAACAGCCCTAGGTGGTGACATCCCGTCACAATTGAAGCATGGCAATTTTGCCGGCTGGTAACTTATTACAAAACATTTCTTTACCAGCCTCTTCCTACTCTGGGGCAAAGTGCCCGCGCTCCTGTAGGACTGAAAAGTTGAGGACTCACTGGGTCATGGGTGCTGGCGGGTCCTCTGTGTCCCCACGGCACCGCAGTGCTGGGAGACGTGTTACGCTCTAGCTCACCCTGCCGCATCCGTTACTGCGCGCAGGAATTTGGTTTCCAGTGCTGTCAGTCGATTCCGTGCCGCTCATACGCCCAAAATGCCCCACAGGCTGTTTGTCAGAATGTTCCTATTAACAGCTCAGTGAAAATAAAGGGTGAGGGGAAGGGAAGGTGGAGAAATAAATCGTATTTTAAATCGTTCGAGCTGGTTTTATTTCAAATGGAAAGTTGCATGCGGACCACCCCGAGCTATTGTGCTGCGGACTGTGTCAGCTGCTTGACTGCCCAAGGAGGATTTGGGTAGAGGGTAAGAGCATCGCACAGGGGAAGGGTGCGCTGGGTTCCTCTTGTGCTGTATCCAGGAAGTTTCTAACACAGTATGGAGTTGTAATACGTTGTCACACGTGGTAATCATTATAAGGAGAGAAAGGAACATTGAAATATGGCAATTTGCTGCTCCCATTCTGGGGATTATGTTGGTTTCTGACTGTCTCGTAGAGGTAATAACATGTTGTAGCGGGGTACAGGAAAATATGGGGCAAACTCAGTCCTGGAGAGCTGCGTGCTGAGCTTAGCAAGGTACATATTGTCCAGCCCCCATGTGTCTGCCTACTCCTTGGTTTAAAAGAACTCTTCAAGCAAAGAGCTGCAGAATTGTGTACATCCAGATGGGGTGATGCGGGGAGGACAGGGAAGCGTTTCCATGTCCTTTGCTGAGACCACTCCACGGGTGGAGGTGGGTAACAGCCTCCTGGGCCAGCTTTGTTTAACTAGCACGGGAGAGAGCAGAGGAGGGAAGTCTGTCAGCAGTACCTGAATGTAGACTGCACACGTCCACAGAGCCCCTTCCATCCCAGTGCAAGGTCCTGCTGCTCTGTCTTCGCTGCTTTGTATTCCAGTATATTCAAATACCAGCCTGCAGGGCTACAGGAGCTGTCAGTGTGCCCCTAGTGTGAGTGGAGGATAAGGGAAAGGATAACGGGATAGGAACCTGGGGGATGCAAATGGAAAACCCCTGTTCCAGAGTGATCCAGGGCACATCATTGGTGTCACAGCAGCGTTGTGGCTTCTGTGTTCCTCCCTTCCTAGAGCACTGCTGGCAAGCAGTGCCAGGCTCCAGCTTGGGGCTGTGTCAGGCTCAGTCCCGTGAGCCCTGCAGGGCCTCGTCAGTCCATGGTTACCAAGGCACAGCAGGGAATCCGATAGGGGCGATGTGTTAGAGAAGGAGAGAGTCTCGAGGAGTTGAGTAATGCACATTTTTTCCGTCCAACGTAACTGTTAATGGTAACCTTTTATTATTGAAGTGGTCGAAGTGACTAGAATCTGGTTTGTTTATTGGGAGTATGTGCATGGCTGTATAATCTAATGTGATCAAAAAAGGAAGCTGATAATAAGGGAAAAATACACCTATGGAAGCAAGTCAGGTGATGTCTCTGTGTAATTGTAATTCCAAGTAGCACTGCAGAGATTAACAGCCTGGCAGCCTTTTCATCTTAAACTTTATTTTTATAGGGGTTTATAGCTTGGCACTAAAGTCAGGAGTGGGTGGAAACTTGGCAAATGTAGTTCAGCCCAGAAAGTGAATGTTATTTATATTTATTTCTCACCAAGTTTTCAAAAACACTTGGTTACTGTTTTTGTGTTCTAACAAGTAGTAATTTGTTGGTTTCAGTGACTTATTCTCTGTGTGTTTCTCAAACTGCAAAATAGTTTGGAACTTATTTCAGCTCCTCTGAAACTTCTAGTAGAAGGGCTCTGGATTTTTAGGGACGTAAATGAAGACTAAAAGTAGTTCTTACTGTATTTTCTTGTAGCAGGGTGCTCCAAGTGCTTCGTGTACACTGAGCAGCATCTTTATTCTGTTTACATCAGATTATTTCCCGATTGCTGCGTAGCTGCCGCAGCTCTGGAGTCATTCCTCTTGGGTTTGCCGGGAGCTGGGTGCGCAGGCGCAGGGTCGCTGCAGCGAGGATGAGGAGGCAGCGGTTGGTGTGGCCGCCTGGACTCCCGAGTCACTGGGGTAGCAGGGCCCGGCTGGAGTGGTGACAAAGCTCCCTCCACTGCCCACACGTGACATAATTTTCACTTCAGAGAATGGGAAGAGTGAGTTAAAATGGCTTACAAGAAAATCCTGGTACTAGTTTGCTCAGCTGTAAGGTTCAGTGCTTGTGATGTTCCAGAACGACAGCTCTGAAGACAGGAACTGTGTGTTCAGGGTTTGAGCCCCTCCCCAGTGAGAATTGAACCGTCTCCATCAGAGAGTAGCTCTGGTAGGTGAAAAGAGCTCTCTATTTAGAAGGAGGTGGAAAAAATCATCAGTAAACTGTCATCCTGAATGTTAACTGTGTAAAGCTTCAAATCTTTATGTAGATGAAGTTTTTAAAAAATAGTTCAAAGCCTTGTGCGGTTGTTAATCTTTACACAAGTTATAATAGTATTATGGTATTTATGAAATAAAGAATATCTTATTATTTGCCGAGACCAACAAAGGGACGAGGTAGCAGTGTTCTAGCTGTATGACGTGTCCCTCAACACTTCTATATCGGATCAATATTTCAGTGCCTATCCAGTAGCATATAGTGAAGCTCATGGAATCTGCAACCTACTGTAAAATGCCTTCCAATTACCTGGCATTATCTAAGGAATGGTTACATTTAAATATACTACTCCAGCTCCATCCTTGCTAGAATATTACGTTTGTCACCAAGAATGCAGAAACATAGAATCACAGAATGTTCGGGGTTGGAAGGGATCTCTAGAGATCATCCAGTCCAACCCCCCTGCCAGAGCAGGACCCCCCAGGGCAGCCACACAGGAACGCGTCCAGGCGGGTTTTGAAAGTCTCCAGAGAAGGAGACTCCACACCCTCTCTGGGCACCCTCACAGTGAAGAAGTTTTTCCTCATGTTGAGGTAGAACTTCTGTGTTCTAATTTAAACCCGTTATTTCTTGTCCTATTGCTGGGCACCACTGAGAAGAGATTGTCCCCTTCCCCTTGACCCCCACCGCTCAGATATTTCTATACGTTAATAAGGTCCTCTCCCAGCCGTCTCCTTTCAAGGCTGAACAGCCCCAGGTCTCTCAGTCTCTCTTCCCAGCAGAGATGTTCAGTCCCTTGATCATCCTCGTAGCTCTCCCTTGGACTCTCTCCAGTAGGTCCCCATCTCTCTTGAACTGGGGAGTCCAAAACTGGACACAGTGTTCCAGGTGTGGTCTCCCCAGGGCAGAGCAGAGGGGGAGCACTTGTTAATTTCCTATTTCAAATACTACTTTATAGAGGAAGCTTAGTTTTGTAATATGTGCGTTATTTTTGTAGTTACCTGAAAAGATACTGTGATATTATTGGTGTAAGATGTTTTAAAGGGAAAATAGGTATATGAACTCACAATTTGTACATTTAGTGTGTAGCCTTTCATTTTTTAAGCACAATCACGCATAGAGATCACAGGTCTTCGCTGTGCTAAACAAACCTCTTTTGAAGAGAGCGAAGCCACTTCTCTTTGAAGTGGGCATTCTTGCAGAGGTGCTCTAAGCTTCCTGGACAGACTCATAGCAATGGTGCTTTGGATACCATTGCTTTAAAATTTTGTCATGTGTGAATTGTTTGTAGCACGCTTTCACACAAGCAACGTGATTCTCCTGCAGTGCAGTGGGGTGAATTGACATTACGAGAGAATTTTATCCACACACAATGCAAGGTAGAGTTCCTGTGGGAAAAGATAATAGATGCTGAGTTTGTGATGAGAAGTTGTTCCAGGAGCTGCACAGGGAACGGTCTGGTGTCCATTGGATTTCTGTAGGTGGGTACTAAATAGGGAGTTCTTTTGTTCACCTAGACACCAGTGATTCTGAAACATTGACCCCTTTTAAAAGTTACTCTGTTTGCTGGGACAGGTGCAAAAGTTAGTGGCAGTGTAAGTGGAAATGTCCAACCTCATTTCTTTATGAAATGAAGCTGGAGAGGATACCCATTGCCAGTTTGATAAGGATGCTTCCTGGGCGGTGGGTGAAGTCCCAAAGGATGTTGATTATTGTGTTACTTTTACTTTGTGCTGCTTTTCCATGTGTTTGTGAAGCTTTTATGCAAGTGCACATTTGCAAACTGAAGCAGGTGCTGTTGCGTACGGTCACCTGCAACAACCCTTACCCTGACAGTCCTCTTGTAAGTGCAAATCGAAATGACAGAAAACTAATTTTTCTCTTTTAACAGTGGAAAGAGTGGAAAGAGAAAACCTTTCAGACTATTGTGTTCTTGGCCAACGACCCATGCACTTACCAAATATCAACCAGCTGGCAACCTTGGGAAAAACTAACGAACAGTCTCCTCATGGGCAAATTCACCACAGTACTCCAATCCGAAACCAAGTGCCAACGATGCAGACAATGATAAACCCGGGGCTCCTGTCTCCTCAGCTCAGTCCACAACTGGTGAGGCAGCAGATAGCCATGGCCCACCTGATAAACCAGCAGATTGCTGTCAGCCGGCTGTTGGCTCACCAGCACCCACAAGCTATCAACCAGCAGTTCTTGAATCATCCGCCCATCCCTAGAGCTGTCAAACCAGAGCCATCAAATTCATCGGTGGAAGTCTCTCCAGATATTTACCAGCAAGTCAGAGACGAGCTGAAGAGAGCCAGTGTGTCCCAAGCTGTCTTTGCAAGAGTAGCATTCAACCGCACACAGGTATCCATTTCTGTTCTATAACCAGGAACCGCTGAGGGGGCAAAGTTGTGGCTCACATGGGGCTGGACGGTTGTCGCTGACTGAGGCAGGAGGTGTGCCAGGGGAACAGGCCAAACCACCCTCCGGTTCTCTCCCTGGGCTCTTGGTCGGGATTGAGCGAGGCTGTTTCTTCCTGGGACAGCTGTTGGTGTGCGTTTGGTCGCCCTGTGCTGTTCCCTGAGCTCTGTTCTCTAGCGGTAACCCTGCTCGCGGGAGCTCCTCCCCAAGCTCCTCTCTGTCGTTATAAACTTCCACACCTGCCCCTGCCTGATGGCCAGGAAGAGGCGACGAGAGGCTGCAGCAGTCGGAGGGGTCCTTGGGCTTCTGTCGCTTCCTCAGCCCTTCCTGTGGCACCGCTGACGCCACAGCCGCTGCCCAGGGCTGCTGCCACCGCAGGTGTACCGGGCAGACGTGCACAGGCCTAAAGACTGACTGCTGGGAACGGTGTCTGCCGCTTGCAGCAGGTCCCGTTTGCTTTCGTACAGCTGACGCGGGTTTTCTCACTCACCTAGTGAAACGCAGATGTTGAGTGGTGGCGTGAGAGCCTCAGCCTAAGCCCAGCGCCTGCAGTACCGGGGTGAGCGTGCGTTCGGGAAGACAGGCCACGCACATTTATCCTGCTGCCATTCGAGGCACGTAAAGCATGATGTCTCAATTGTGACACTCTGTGGCAAGGCTAAAGAGATGGAAAGTGGCTTTAATATTTAATATTTGTACAAATTTCTGTTGTGCAATGGGAGTTAGTATTTGAGGAAAGCTGTACCGGCGAGAGAGAAAAAGGGTTCGTGTGTCTGTGGCTCACTGAGGTCTGTCCCTTTCCCTATACAGTGCCTTTGTCTGTTCTCCTGGATTAATGATTTTCTTTGGCACTGCCATTTTGGAAATGCCATGTTATGAGGGAACTAATTAAAGTATGGAGCACATTTTTATTACTTCCTTTCTTCCATTAAATTCGTAAGATGGCTGCACTCAGAAAAAACATTCACTTCCAATCAACGTGACTTTGAGTTCTGGGGTTAGCCTTGAGGATATCAAATGAAAACTACATAGGAATGTATGAGTATTTCCTCTTTAAAATGCTGCTTTTAATTTGGAAAAGCTTTTCATCCCTCTGGGATCGTAACCTGTTGTATATAAAGCCTGGTATAATCAAGGTAGATGGTATTGACAGAATGACACATTCTGAACTTGAGCGAGAGGTCAGCGGTAACGTTGCCGGTGAGGGTTTTGCCGCTGTCGCTGGACGCGAATCTCTGTTTTAGCCAGGCTGGGAGAGCTGCTGAGGCAATGCCCAACTCTGCCGTTAAACCGGAAAGTTCATTCCCCAACGAGAAAGCTGCTGTATGACTCGTGTGCTAAATGGACAGCTCGCCTTTAGTATTTAAAAGGAGACAAGGTTTTGATCCTGTGTGTCTAGGGACCCCCAGTTCCCCGTGTTACAGCCATGCTGGTGTTCTGGGACAGCAGGGAAGGGGCGAGATGTGGAGGAGAGCACGTTGCCTCTGATTTTCAGATGCCCTCTGCGGCTTAGGACACCAGGCATGTAACCATTCAGACCTGAGTGGGCATGCCAAGGTAACATTCTTCGAGAAGGTGCCAGGTGCCTTTCCTGAGCAGGGCTGCACCTGGAAATGGGATGTGATGCTCTGTCCTCTGACCGGTTTACACTTGCAGTTCAGTTTATAAAGTAGTTCTGTAATTCATGGTGCTAATATCACTGGTTTTGTCAGTCCTCCTGCTGACATTTACCTTAGGGTGTGCTAACTTCTGGAGCTTTTCTTAAAAAAAAACAAAACCAAACTGACTTTGATTGCCTCAAAGATACTAAATAATTTTATATCAAAGGAAAGAAATTGCCTACTTTTTATCTCTCCATCGTAAGTAACATGGTATGCTGTACGGGCCATGACACTAATTCCAAAACAGGCAAGTCTTCAGCATCCATAAAAGCTGTGCTCATCCCAGAGCTGTGTTTCATTGCTCTGCAAGGCCTTAACGCAGAAGACCAGTGGATCTTACACGGAGTGCATCGTAACCCTGGGAGCCATCACTGTAGCAAAAGAGTGTAGGTACATATTGATGCTTCCCTGTCCTCAGCTTTTAATTCCAGCTCAAATCAAGCTCCCCTCGTGCCTGAGGCTGTTCAAGAGGTGCTCAGACAGTAGATGTGGGGTGTTTCCACACACACATGTGGAGAAGCAAACTCTGTGAAAGGCGCTCAAGTCAAAGTTCAAGTCTGCACCCATCTGCCTGCAGCCCTTGAGGATCCTCTCCTCGGGACGTGCAGAGGTGTGCATTTCTCTGGAGAAGTTTGGGTTTGTTTCATTTCATGGGAAGCAGCAGCCTTAGAAACTGGAGGTCTGTTGTCTCTCCTAATGGGAGCAGATAATAGATGCGGTGCCAGCCAGCTAATAATTGTATTAATCACTGCACTATGGGCCACTGCTTAATCTTTCCGTGTGGTAGCTCTGTGGTGTGCATTAGCCTATAATTAAGTATAGCTTCATAAAATATGTACTATGAGACTTATTTAATAGATAAACTATTCTCTAATTTATTTTAAAGTCCAGTGACCTACATACTCAATGCTGAAAAAACCCACCCTCTTACTAACATTATTTCTCCCCTGAGACCTTCCATCTGAGCAAATCTGTTAAATGAAGTAGAGGAAGCTTTGATCCAAACTAGGCTAAATCCATCAGAACACATGTGTGTAAGCATGTATGTGCGGGAAGGGGGACGTGAGGAGGGTCAGAAGGAGAAGTGCAGGATTATAGTCAGTGACACGTCCAAACCTTCCTCTTAAACTTGGAAATACATAGCCTAGGACGACAGCATTGGCTTATACCCGTCTGAATGCATGAAAACGAAGGGGTTCAATCTCTCTGAGGAGCCCTGTGCATTTCCAGGGCCCAGCCCTCCTGCTGAGGTCCCGCTCCAGAGTGGGGACTTAAGGTCAGGCAGTTCTGTGCCTGCTGGGCCACGTGGGCACAAAGAGGTTTTCTTTCAAACAAAATGTTCCGGAGTGAGCATTTTCAGATTTACTTGAAACTAGGTGTGAAGAACCCTCAAAATACATACAGATGATCTTTAGTAGATACCCTGGGCTAACCTCTGCCCCTTCTTTTTATTTTGTCTTCAGGGAGTCAGTGGAGAAAGCTGGCCATGGTTACAGCAGCTAGCAGCATTGCTGGGGTAGCAGGTTCAGATTCCTGCTTGTGTGATTGCAGAGTCTGTGCCCGAGTTCCTCATGGCCAAGATCTGTGGCTCCCTTTTGCAGCTCTGCTGGCCTGCGACCCTTAAGTTGGGAATTTGCAGGCTCCTTGATTTAGGTGTGTTGTTTACTGAAATAGTTTGCTCCCTTTGTGCAAACTGCTGCCGCTAAGGGAAAGCTTAAGACATCCTTGTCTGCTGGGTCTTTAGAAGTGCGTGCAAGAGTGCGAGTGGGTTTGGATGGCAGGCAGAGGGCTGTATGAGGCCTGTCAAATACTTGAGAGTTGCGTGATTATGCCTGCTATCTTTATTTTAAAACAGAGGGCATCTTCAGAAAGCATGTTGACATGCAGCCAGGCTGTAAGCCGAAGTTGCTATTAAAACAGTCGGTAGTGGAAGTTCTGCTTTCTGTAAGACTTTGGCACTTTTTGGTTGTTTAAGATCATTCAATCTTAAGGAAAATAACCAAGGAGAAGTCTGATTAGTACTGCACATCCGCAGGAGAAGCTCAGTTGTCAGGGGCAAAGCAGATGGACCTTGTGCTTAGAATTGCCCTGTGCACATTTTTAAAAGCAGTCAAGGCTTTGAAAAGGCCAGAGCGCAAGGTCTGCAAGGTGTAGGCTGCAGAGGGTGAACATGGAAATGGTCTCTCAGATTTGCGTTGTCCTTCTCTGGAAAGTTTTTTAGCAGATCTGGAGGTACTGAAGTGATCTGGGCTCCTCAGGCTCCTAGCTGGAAAACAGGTCAGTGGGATCCTGCTTTGCTTAAGGAAGACGGACGCGGTGTCCTGGCTCTCTCTGCCTGCTCAGCGTCCCTCCTGGCTGGTGGGGATGCTGTGGGGCCGACAGGAGTGCCCAGTGCTGAAGAGCCCACAGACTGAACGAGTGTTTCTGTTTATGTCTGTCTGTCTTTTTTCTTTTTTGAGCATCTTTTTTTTTCCCAATATTTTGACATAATAGCCCAAACTAGTGAAATATTTGGCCGAGTGGTCAGTGCTTATTTTATAGAACAGCCTCAGAAACTGGAAATATCCGTGAACATGAGGCTGTTTGAACAAAACGGTCGTGGTGCCAGATACCAAGAGAGCTGTGGGTAAAAGCACCAGGCATGTTCCCGCTGCTTGTAAACTCTCTTCCCAAAGGAGCACTGCTCCCTCCCTCCCCCGGCGGGCAGAGGGGTCAGCGCTCCTTAGAGAGGGGCTGGGGGCTCCAGGAGCAGCAGTGGGGCTGGGAAGGAAGCTCTGAAGAAGGGCTTTGGAGGCAGGTAAGGAGGGTCCTGCGTGGTGACTCCTCATTTATGTCTAATTTTGCCTTCTTTGGCAAAATTCCCCCAAACTGAAGTGAGATCAGAAAAGGATCCTTTAAGAGGCTTGAAGATTAGAAATACGGTTTGTTGCAATAACCAACTATTCCACCTCTACTTGCTTGCGAGCCAAATCCTGGACAGAATTCCTTTTGCAAGTGATTTTCCCTTTAACTAAAGCAAAAGGAAGACAAGCGGCTTTCGTCCTCTGGTACCTAACAAGACAGTCACATTGCATTCACAGAATCACAGAATTGTTGAGGCTGGAGAAGACCTCTGAGATCATAAAGTCCAGCCTATTATATTCATTGCTATGGTGTCTGCCCCATTGTGCACAGACTTCGGGTTAGCAAGGATTCTGGGTTTGGAGGTGATTTTTTGTTGGTTTCCCCCCCACCATAGAAAACTCTCTCTTATTGCGTGGAACCCTTTCCTGCTGCCTGCTC